ACGGACAGACAGACAGACAGAGAGACAAGTGACAGATGGAGAGAGACAGATGAGACAGACAGACAGACAGAGGACACAGACAGATGTAGACACAGAGACAGACAGGAAGAGACAGACAGACAGAGACAGACATGTAGACACAGAGATAGAGAAGAAACAGACTCAGACAGACAGACAGACAGAGGACACAGACAGATGTAGACACAGAGACAGACAGGAAGAGATAGACAGTCAGAGACAGACATGTAGACACAGAGATAGAGAACAAACAGACTCAGATAGACAGACGCAGGCACAGACAGACAGATGGGCAGACACAGAGGAGACAGATGGACAAACAGACACAGACAGAGACAAGTGACAGATGGACAGAGACAAGAGTCACACAGACAGACAGAGACAAAAGACAGACAGGTACAGACAGAAGAGAAAAGAGACAAACAGACACAGACAGGAAGACAGACGGGGACAGACAGACAGACTGAGACAGAAGAAACCGACACAGGCACAGAGAGACAGACTGAGAAGAGACAGACAGACACAGAGAGACAGAGACATGAGGGCCAATGGACAGACAAGAGACAGAAGAGACACAGACAGACAGACATATACACAGAGATAAAGACATGAGACAGACAGACAGATGGAGACACGGAGACAGGTGGACAGAGAGAACAGACACAGACTGACAGACATGAGACTGATGGACAGACAAGAGACAGACACAGAGATGAGAGACAGAGAGACGGAGACACAGACACAGACAGGGAGAGATAGACGGACAGACAGAACAGACAGACAGATGGAGACAGGGAGAGACCGACAGAGGTAGACGGACAGACAGACAGGAAGAGACAGAGACAGAATAGACAGACAGACACAAGAGACAGACAGAGACAGAACAGAAACAGACAGACAGAGATAAGAGACAGACAGACAGACAGGGAGACAGACAGACACAGGCAGACACAGAGACAGAGAGACAGATGTACAGACACAGAACAGATAGACACAGGGGCAGACAGACCGACAGAGAGAAGAGTCAGATACAGACAGACAGACAGTCGTCAACACAGAGACAGACATGAGACAGAGACAGACACAGTGACAGATGGAGAGAGGCAGAAGAGACAGACAGATGATCCAGGAAGACAGAGACAGACAGAAACAGACAGACAGACAGACAGACAGACAGACAGAGGACACAGATGTAGACACAGAGACAGACAGACACAGACTGAGACAGAAGAGACCCACACAGACAGACAGACAGATGTACACACAGAGACACACAGGAAGAGAAATGGATAGAGACAGTCACAGGCATAGACAGACAGACATAGAGACAAGAGACAGATGGACAGAGACAGAAGAGACAAAGACAGACAGACACAGTCACAGACAGACAAACTCAGCCAGGACAGATAGACAGACATAGACACAGAGACAGGAAGAGAAGGACGGACACAGGCACAGACAGACAGAGATGGACGTGAGAGAAACCGGCACAGACAGACACAGAGAGACAGACAGACAAAGAGAAGAGACAGAAGAGACAGACAGGGACAGACAGACAGATGTACACACAGAGACAGACAGGGAGAGACAGATGCACAGAGACAGACAGACAAAGACGAGACAGACAGACAGACACAAAGACAAGTGACAGATGGAAAGAGACAGACAGATGGAGCCAGGAAGACAGAGACAGACAGACAGACAGAGGACACAGACAGATGTAGAGACAGTGACAGGGAGAGACAGACGGACACAGGGACAGACAGACAGAGACAGGGACAGACAGACAGACAGAAGAGACAGACATGTAGACACAGAGACAGAGAAGAAACAGACTCAGACAGACAGACGCAGGCATAGACAGACAGATGGGCAGACAGAGGAGACAGATGGACAGACAGACACAGAGACAGGCAGGAAGGGAGATGGACAGACACGGAGAGACAGACAGGAAGAGACACAGACAGACGGACAGAGACAGGAAGACAGACGGGGACAGACAGACTGAGACAGAAGAGACACCAAGACAGACAGACAGAGACAGATGGACAGACAAACAAAAGACATACAGAGACAGACTGAGACAGAAGAGATCCAGACAGACAGATGTACACACACAGACGGACAGGAAGAGAGTCGGACAGAGACAGAGACAAGAGACAGATGGACAGAGTCAGACAGACATGAGACTGGTAGACAGACACAGGGAGAGACAGAGATAACAGACAGACAGACGTCAACACAGACAGTGATGGAACAGACAGATAGACAAGATCGATGGACAGACAAGAGACAGAGATAGAGAGACTCAGACAGACAGACGGAGATGTACAGACAGATGGAGACACAGAGACAGACAGGGAGAGACAGAACAGACAGACAGAGAGACATGAGACCAATGGACAGATAACAGACAGAGACAGAGAGACACAGACAGAGACAGACAGACAGACAGAGACACAGAGACAGGGAGAGACTGACAGAGGTAGACGGACAGACAGAGACAGGCAGATGTCAACACAGACAGAACAGACAGACAGAGATAAGAGAGACAGACAGACAGACACAGAGACAGAGACACAGACAGACAGACAGGGACACAGACAGACAGATACAGACAGACAGAGATAAGAGACAGACAGAAGGAGACAGACATAAGAGACAGACACAGACAGACAGACACAGAGACAGACAGGGAGAGACAGACCAGACAGACAGACATGAGACCAATGGACAGATAACAGACAGAGAGAGAGAGGCAGACAGACAGACAGATAAGAGACAGACAGACAGATGTCAACACAGAGACAGACAGACAGGGAGACAGACAGACACAGACAAAGACAGACAGAAAGCTAAAGACAGAGAGATAGACAAGGAGAGACAGATGGACAGAGACAGACAGAGCAGGCCTTCCCGGTCTCTTTTTCCTTGTGTCTCTAGACTTCCTGATCGTATTCCTGTTAGTTGGTGTTTTCCTTCTTCCTCTTCTGTCTCCTCCTCCTCTTCCATCTCCTCTTCCATCTTCTCTTCCATCTCCTCTTCTTCTTCCATTTCCTCTTCCTCTTCCATCTCCTCTTCCGTCTCCTCTTCCCTCTTCTCTTCCTCTTCCGTCTCCTCTTCCATCTTCTCTTCTGTCTCCTCTTCCTCTTCCATCTCCTCTTCCTCTTAGGTCTCCTCTTCTGTCTCCTCTTCCATCTCCTTTTCCTCTTCCATCTCCTCTTCCTCTCCTCTTCCTCTTCCGTCTCCTCTTCCATCTCCTCTTCCTCTTCCATCTCCTCTTCCTCTCCTCTTCCTCTTCCGTCTCCTCTTCCATCTCCTCTTCCTCTCTTCTTCCTCTTCCATCTCCTCTTCCATCTCCTCTTCCTCTCTTCTTCCTCTTCCATCTCCTCTTCCTCTTCCGTCTCCTCTTCCTCTTCCGTCTCCCCTTCTGTCTCCTCTTCCTCTTCCATCTCCTTTTCCTCTTCCATCTCCTCTTCCATCTCCTCTTCCGTCTCCTCTTCCATCTCCCCTTCCGTCTCCTCTTCCTCTTCCATCTCCTCTTCCATCTCCTCTTCTGTCTCCTCTTCCTCTTCTGTCTCGTCTTCCATCTTCTCTTCCATCTTCTCTTCCATCTCCTCTTCCATCTCCTTTTCCTCTTCCATCTCCTCTTCCGTCTCCTCCTCCGTCTCCTCTTCCGTCTCCTCTTCCATCTCCTCTTCCGTCTCCTCTTCCATCTCCTCTTCCATCTCCTCTTCCTCTCCCGTCTCCTCTTCCATCTCCTCTACCGTCTCCTCTTCCGTCTCCTCTTCCATCTCCTCTTCTGTCTCCTCTTCCGTCTCCTCTTCCGTCTCCTCTTCCGTCTCCTCTTCCGTCTCCTCTTCCTCTCCCGTCTCCTCTTCCATCTCCTCTTCTGTCTCCTCTTCCGTCTCCTCTTCCGTCTCCTCTTCCGTCTCCTCTTCCGTCTCCTCTTCCATCTCCTCTTCTTCTTCCATCTCCTCTTCCTCTCCTCTTCCTCTTCCGTCTCCTCTTCCATCTCCTCTTCCTCTTCTATCTCCTCTTCCATCTCCCGTCTCCTCTTCCTTTTCCATCTCCTCTTCTGTCTCCTCTTCCGTCTCCTCTTCTATCTCCTCTTCGGTCTCCTCTTCCATCTCCTCTTCCTCTTCCATCTCCTCTTCCATCTCCTCTTCCTCTTCCATCTCCTCTTCCTCTTCCCCTTCCTCTTCCTCGTGTCCATGTCCTTCTTCCTCTTCCTGTTCTTCTGATACATCTCCTTCCTCTTCCCATTCTCCTTCCTCTTCCTCCCCATTGTCTCCCTGACCCCCACAGGTCGCCTCACATCCTTGAACCTCCATCCCCGGGCCTCCAACTTCCAGCCTCCATCCCTGGCCTCCATCCTTGGGCCTCCACCCCCTTGGGCCTCCACTCCTGGCCTCCATCCCCAGCCTCCACCCCATTTGGCCTACTTTCCTCTACCCCCCTGGGCCCCTGTCCCTAGCCTCCACCCTCTTGGGCCTCCTTCCCTGGGCCTCCAACTTCCAGTCTCCATCCCCAGCCTCCACCCAATTAGGCCTCCATCCCTGGGCCTCCTTCTCTGGCCTCCAACTTCCTGTCTCCATCCTCAGCCTCTACCTCTGTCCTCCACCTTCCTGGACCTCCATCCCCAGCCTCCATACCTGGCCTCTAACCCCTAGGCCCCCATCCCTGGGCCTCCACTTCCCCTAGGCCTCCATCCCTGGGCCTCCACCCCCTGGGCCTCCAACTTCCAGTCTCCTTCCTCAGCCTCCACCCCTGGCCTCCACCCCGTTGGACCTCCATCCCCAGCCTCCACCCTGGCCTCTAATCCCTAGGCCTCCTTCCCTGGGCCTCCAACTTCCAGCCTCCATTTCCCTGGGCCTCCACCCCTGGGCCTCCATCCCCAGCCTCCCCCCCTCCATCCCAGCCCCAGGATGGGGGGCCCCCACCGCTGGGCCTCGCTGCTGCTGCTGCTGCTGCTCCTGTGCGGCCCCCACCCAGCCCCCGCCACCCGCTGCCCCAGGACCTGCGCCTGCTACGTCCCCACCGAACTCCACTGCACCTTCCGCAGCCTCAGGGCCGTGCCCCACATGCTGGACCCCAAGATGGAGCGCGTGAACCTGGGGTGAGGCCTGGGGAGGGGAAAGGGGGGAAGGAAGGGAAGGAAGAGTAAGGAAGGAAGGAAAGAAGGAAGGAAGGAAGGAAGGAGGGAAGGAAGGAGGGAAGGAAGGAGGATGGAGGGAAGGAAGGAAGGATGGAAGGAAGGAAGGAAGGAGGGAAGGAAAGAAGGAAGGAAGGAGGGAAGGAAGGAGGGAGGGAGGGAAGGAAGGAAGGAAGGAGGGAAGGATGGAAGGAAGGAAGGAGGTAGAGAAGGAAGGAAGGAAGGAAGGAGGGAAGGAAAGAGGGAAGGAAGGAAGGAGGGAAGGAGGGAGGGAAGGAAGGAAGGAGGGAGGGAAGGAAGGAAGGAAGCAAGGGAGGAAAGGAAGGAAGGCAGGAAGGAAGATGATGATGAGTAATGATTCATTATTCTTGACCCTGACCCGGAAACAAAAGTCCTGCCCTCCCAGCGCTGGTTTTCAGGCTGTTTTCCTGATTTCCTCTTCCTGTCCTCTCGCCTGTTGAATTAGGTTCAACCACATCCGGGTCCTGACGCACGCTTCCTTCCCCGGTCTTGCGAGACTTCAGCTGCTGCTGCTGCACGGAAACGAGATCGCGGACATCGCCGAGGGCGCCCTGAGCGACCTGGGCGCACTGCAGGTGCGCAGGGAGCGGGCGGAAGTGGGGCGGAATTGGAAGGAAGTGGAAGGAAGTTTGGTAGGAAGTGGGGCAGAAATATGCAGTGAAGTGGGACAAAGTAGGGGAAGAAGTGGGGCGGAAGTTTGAGGAAATAGATACGGAAGTGGGAGGAAGTAGGGCCGGAAGTGGGAAGGAAGTTGGAGGAAGAAGGAAGTGGGAAAAGAGTAGGGAGGAAGGAGGGGGGAAATGCGGAGGAAGACAGGCAGAAATGGGGATCAAATAGCAAAGGAAGTGGGGAGGAAGTAGGGAATCAATGGAGGAAGTAGAGACGGACATGGGAGGAAGTCGGGGGCAGAAGGGAGGCGGAAGTGAGACGGAAATGGATAAGGACCTGGGAAGAAGTAGGGCTGGAAGTGTAGCCAGATGTTGAGTGGAAATAGGGAAGGAAGTGGAGCGGAAGTGGGTCGGAAGTAGTGAGGATATGGATCTGGAAGTGGAAGTAGGGCCGGAAGTGGGGTGGAAATCGGGAAGTAGGGAGGAAGTGTGAGGAAGTAGGGGTGAAAATAAGCCGGAAGTGGGAGGAACTAGGGGCGGAAGTGGTTAGGATATGGTTCCGGAAGTGAGAAGTGGGGTGGAAATAGGGAAGGAAGTGGGGAGGAAGCAGGACGAAGTAGGGGCGGAAGGCGGAAGTGGGGCGGAAGTGGTGAGGATATGGATCCGGAAGTGGAGTGAAAATAGGGAAGGAAGTGGGGAGGAAGTGGGGGTAGAAGTGACCCAGAAGTGGGGAATGACATATAGTTGGAAGTGGGGAAGAAAGTGGAAATAGGACCATGGGTAGGACCGGAAGTGGGGCAGAAATAAGGAAGGAAATGGGCAGGAAGTGGGAGGAAGTCGGGGCTGAAGTGAGGCGGAAGTGAGCTGGAAGTGGGGCAGAAGTGGTGAGGATCTGGATCTGGAAGTGACAGAAAGTAGGGCCATAACTGGCCGGAAGTGCGGAGGAACTTGGAGGAAGTAGAGGCGGAAGTCAGCCGGAAGTGGGGAGGAAGTGACCCGGAACTGGGGCGGAAGTGAGTTGGAAGTAGGGAGGAAGTGAGAATGGGGCAGAAGTGGGACCGGAAGAAGTGAGGAAATATACTCGGAAGTGGGAGGAAGTAGAGGCAGAAGTCGGGAGAAGTAAGCCGGACGTGGAGCAGAAGTGTGACAGGAAGTGGTACGGAAGTAGGGTGGAAGTGAGACCGGAAGTGGGGCGGAAGTGACCCCGAAGTTGCCCTTCGGATCCCAGAAACGCCCCCTTTCACCCCCACAGGTGCTGAAGCTGAGCTACAACCAGCTTCGGGCACTGCGCACGGGCTCCCTGCGGGGCCTGCGGCGCCTGTCCCGGCTGTACCTGGACCACAACCGGCTGGAGTCGGTGCCCCCGCGGGCACTGCTGGGGCTGGCGTCGCTGCGGCTGCTACGTCTGGACGGGAACCAGCTGGCGGCACTGGCGCCCGAGGCGTTGGCCACGCTGCGCGTGCGCGGGGTCCCGGCCTGCACGCTGCGCGTGCTGCACCTGGCTGGGAACCACCTGGCTGCGCTGCCCGCCGGCACCCTGGCCCAGGCACCCGCGCTGCGCGCGCTGCACCTGCAGGGTAACCCCTGGGCCTGCGGTTGCCGTGCGCGCTGGATGGAGGACCTGGAGGGGCGGGGCCGAGGTGAGCAGAGGGGGCGTGGTCAAGCGCAGGCCAATGAGAGGGCCGGGCGGGGCTGAGGCGATGCAGAGAGGGGGCGTGGCCGAACTACAGCCAGTGAGAAAGGATGGGGGCGTGGCTGGGCGTAAGTGAGTAGCCGAGTTCCCCCAGTCACGCGGGGCGGAGGCGTGGCCGAGGCGCCCAGGGGGGCGTGGCCTAGCTCCAGCCAGTAAAAAACGGCAGCAGCGTGGCTGGGCGTGGCTGGGCATTAGTGAGGAGCTGCAGGGGGCGTGGCCAAGGTCTAGCCACTTAGGAGGGGCAGGGACGTTGCTGAGGCTCCACAGGGAGGGTATGGCCCAGCTTTAGCCACTCAGGCAGGGTGAGGGTAAGGCTAAGGCTCCACGGGGGGGCGTGGCCGAGGTCCAGCCAGTCAGGCGAGACGGGGGCGTGGCTGAGAACCCCCAGGAGGGGCGTGGCCGAGCTCCAGCCAGTCAGGCGCGACGGGAGCGTGGCCGAGGCTCCCCAGGGGGGCGTGTCCCATGTCAGCCCCGCCCTTCTCCCATCCCCCCCTGCAGGCGTGCTGCGCTGTGGGAAGGAACAGGCGTGCGCGGCCTGCGCCAGCCCCGCCGCCCGCCGCGGCTTGCACCTGCGTCGCCTGCCTCCACGCATGCGTTGTCGCCCGCCGCGCATCCTCACCAGCCCGGCAGACGGCGAGGAGCCGCTGGAAGCGGAAGTGGAGGCGGAGGAAGAGGAAGTGGAGGACAGGGAGGAGGTGGGCGAGGTGCAGCTGAGGCTGACAGACGCCCGTGGCCGCGCCGCTGGCCTTACCTGCCGCCTGCGGCGCGCGCCCAGCGTGCGCGACCTCGACGTGCGGCCCGGCCCTGCCCCCGATGTCCCTGTGCACGTGCGCCTGACGCTCAGCGCCGCCCTCGCCTGCTACGCCGACCCTGCCCACCTCGCACATGCCCGCCGCCTGCTGGGAGGCGATGACGACACTGATGATGTCGCGCTGATGCTGCGCTGGGACCCGGAGGCGCCGGGCCACGCCCACGCAGATAGGGACCCGGGAGATGGATCCGGGGAAGGCCACGCCCAACCCTCGGGTGGAGACGCTGATGGGGATGAGCTGTATCAGGACAGGGACCCAGATGTAGGCCACGCCCACCATCAGGGCGGAGACCCGGATGTGGACTATATGTATCAGGCCACAGACTCGGATGTAGGTCATGCCCACCATCGAACCAGGAACCCTGATATAGGCCATGTCCACCAGGGAGCCAGAGACCCTGATGTAGGCCCTGCCCACGCTCAGGACAGAGACCCGGTTGTAGGCCACACCCATCTGCAGGACAAATACCCGGATGTAGGCTATATGTATCAAGCCCAAGACCCGGATGTAGGCCCCTCCCACCAGCAGGACAGACACCCGGATGTAGGCCCCGCCTACAAGCATGCCAGACACCCGGATGTAGGCCATGAGTATGATCAGGACGTAGGCCCCGCCCACCCTCAGGACAGAGACCCGGATATCAATGACCCAGATGAGGGCCCCGCCCACCCTGAGGACAGAGACCAGGATGGAGGCCACGCCTACCCTGAGGCTAGAGACCTGGATGTCCATGACATGGATGAGGGCCCTGCCCACCCTGAGGACAGAGACCCTGATGTCAATGACCCAGATGAGGGCCCCGCCCACTCTGAGGACAGAGACCCGGATGTAGGCCCCAGGTATGACCAGGATGGAGGCCACGCCCACCCTGAGGCCAGTTTCCCGGATGTCCATGACCTGGATGTGGGCAAGGCCTACCGCCTGGTGCACGGCCCTGGCGCGTCGTCATCGTCGCCAACGTCACTTCCAGGTGTGGTGGCCCGGCTGTGGGCGCGGCCTGCCTGGCTGCTGCAGCCCGAGCTGACGCTGCGCTGGGCTGGGCTGCGTGGGCCACGCATGCGTCTGACGTGGACGGCGTGCGTGCGTGGCCCCGAGGACCCGGAGGACGCACCCTGGGTGACCCTCGACCCCCGTGATGACCCTGATGACGTGCACGTGGTGACCCCGGGGCAGACGCTGCGGCTGCGCTGTGCGGCGCAGGGCTCGGAAACACCACGCATGGCCTGGACGCGGCCCGACGGCTCCATCCTCCGGGGCGATGAGGATGGCGGCCATGATGGGGGGACAACACTGGAGATCCACAGGATGCGCCAGGCCGACGCTGGCTGGTACCGCTGCGAGGCCCGCGTGGGGCGCCGCGGGGAAACCAAGGCACGGCGCGTGGCCTATGGCGAGGACGGAGCCACGGGGTCCGGGGCCTACGCGGAGGAGGAAGCCATGGAATCCGAGGCCTATGGTGTGAATGAAGCCACAGGATCTGAGGCCTACACTGAGGAGAAAGCCAAAGGATCCAGTGCCTATGGCTCAGATGAAGCCATGAAATCCGAGGCCTACACTGAGGAAAAAGCCACGAAATCTGAGACCTATGGTGAAGAAAAAGCCTACGCTGTGAATGAAGCCATAGAATCCGAGGCCTATGGTGCAAATAAAGCCATAGAATCCGAGGCCTTCGCTGAGGAAAAAGCCATAGGATCTGAGGCCGACACTGAGGAGAAAGCCACAAGCCCCGCAGCCTACACCCTGTCTGAAGCCACGGGCCCCGCGGCCTACATCAGCTTTGAAGCCACAGCCCCCACGGCCTCCGCCCCTTCTGAAGCCACAGCCCCTGCGGCCTACACCCCGTCTGCAGCCCCGGGCCCTGCGGCCTACGGTGGCTTTGAGTCCGCCATGGCGGGCCGGGCACAGCGCGTGTTCGTGGTGGCGTCTCGGGCGCCAGCGGCCACGGATCTGGAACTGCCTGCGGGCGTCGCGCTGCGGCTGGGCTGTCGGGCGGAGGCGGAGCCGGCGGCGCGCGTGGGCTGGCTTCTGCCGGGCGGGCGCTGGGCCTGGGCGGGGACGGAGCTGGGGACGGACGGGGTCGGGGTTGGGGCGGACGGGACGCTGACGCTTCCCACGCTGGGCCCACGGCACGCCGGGCGCTATGTGTGCGTGGCCGCCAACGCGCTGGGGCTGGCGCGCTGGGACGCCGACGTCAGCGTGGGTGGGGTGGCGGGGGGCAAGATGGCGGGAGACAAGATGGCGGAATCAAAGATGGAAGAATCCAAGATGGCGGAAAGCAAGATGGCCAAAAACAAGATGGCAGAATCAAAGACGAAAGGCAACAAGATGGTGGAAAACAAGATGGAGGGAATTAAGATGGTGGATTCCAAGATGGTGGACACCAAGATGGTGGAATCCAAAATGGAGGGAAGCAAGATGGCCGAAAACATGACGGAATCTAACATGCCCGACGCCAACATGGCGGATTCCAAGATGGCCAAAAACAAGATGGTGGACACCAAGATGGAGGGAACCAAGATGGCAGAATCCAAGATGGAAGGAAACAAAATGGCGGAAGCCAAGATTGCAGAATCCAAGATGGAGGGAACTAAGATGGCGGAAGCCAAGATGGACGAAACGAAGATGGCAGATGCCAAGATGGCGGAATCAAACATGGGGAGAAACAAGATGGAGGAATCCAAGATGGAGGGAACCAAGATGGCCGAAAACATGGTGGAATCCAACATGGCCGACACCAACATGGCGGATTCCAAGATGGTGGACGCCAAGATGGCGGAATCCAAAATGGAGGGAAACAAGATCAGGGAAAGCAACATGGCAGAATCCAAGATGGAAGGAATCAAGATGGCGGAAAACAAGATGGAAGGAATAAAGATGGCCGAAAACAAGGTGGTGGAATCAAAGATGGAGGGAACCAACATGGCGGAATCCAAGATGGAGGAATCCAAGATGGAGGGAATTAAGATGGCAGATTCCAAGATGGTGGAGGCCAAGATGGCTGATTCAAAAATGGCGGATTCCAAGATGGCGGGTGCCGCTGCGGAAGCGGCTGCGGGGGCGACGCGCGGTGCTGACGTCATTGTTGGTGTGCCAAGCTTGGGCCCGGGCACCGGGGAAGCATGGCTGTGGCGTCGGCGTCCTGCGGGCGGCCCCGGGCGCGGGCAGCAGCGGCGTCCGCCGCCTCCTCATCTCCCTCCCATCCCGCGTGCTGCCCCCGCCGGCCACGGGTTCGAGCCCGCCTTGCCACGCCGCCCGCGCCCACCAGTGGCTGCCGAGCACATCCAGCCCGAGCACTGGGCGCGCATCCTGGCGCATGTTCGCGGCCGCGCCACAGGCGACTTCCGGGCCCCGCCCGCCCTGCTTCCGGTCTCCACGGAGACCTCCCCGCTTCCGGCGTCCACACTTCCGGTTTCGACACAAATATCCCCACTTCCGGTCTCTGTGTCTTCCGCCGACCCACTTCTGGTCTCCACTCGGACCTCACCACTTCCGGTCTCCACTCAGACCACCCCACTTCTGGTCTCCACACTGCCGGTTTCCACTCGAACATCACCACTTCCTGTCTTCACTACTTCCGCCTACCCACTTCCGCTCTCCCCACGGACCTCCCCACTTCCAGTCTCCACTCGGACCCCCGCACTTCCTGCTTCCACACTTCCAGTTTCCACTCGAAAATTCCTACTTCCGGTCTCCACTGGGACCACCCCACTTCCGGCTTCCACACTTCCGGTTTTGTCTCGAACATCCCCACTTCTGGGCTCCACTCGCAGATCTACACTTCCGGTCTCCACGCGGAGATCCCCACTTCCGGTCTCCATTCGGACCACCCCACTTCCTGTTTCCCCACTTCCGGTTTCCACTCAGAAATCCCCACTTCCGGCCTCCACTACTTCGGCCTACCCACTTCCGTTTTCGACTGAGAGATCCCCACTTCCGACTTCCACACCTCCGGTTTCCCCACAGACCTCCCCACTTCCGGTCTCCAGTCAGACCACCCCACTTCCGGTTACCACTCGGAGATCCCCACTTCTGACTTCCACACTTCCGGTCTCCCCATGGACCTCTCCACTTCCGGTTTCGACACGGACATCCCCACTTCCGGCCTCCACCCCTCGAGCATCCACTGCTCCGACCTCTGCACTTCCGTCCTCCTCACTTCCGGCCTCCTTACTTCCGGCTCCCAGGAGGCCTGGCGGCGGCCGCAGGCAGGGGCGACAGCACAAAGCTCACCGCGCCCGGCCGGGCCCCACGGTGAACCCCCGTGACCCCGTGGTCACGACCCTGCATGGCCGTGCCCCGGATGTCCTCCCTTCCCATCCTGCGGCTTCCCCCGATGGTGACCCGGGGACCTTTGACCCGCGACCCCCGGCCCCGCCCGCCGTGACCCCGCCCCGTGGCGTCTGGAACGAGCTGGACACGGGTGAGCCTCAGTTTACCCATCTGTCTCCTGCAGGCTCTTGGCGTGGGGGCGGGGGACTGAGGGGAGCCAGATAGGAGGTGGAGGTAAGAGGTCACAGGGAGGATACAATACGGTCAGAGGTCATGGGGAGGTTAGGGGTCACGGGGGGTCAGAGGTCACAGGGAAGCCAGGGGTCACAGTAGGGTCAGCGGTTGCAGAGAGGTCAGAGGTCATGGAGAGATCACGGGGAGGTGAGAGGCCATGGGCAGGTGAGAAGAGGATGGGAGGTCAAAGGTCATGGGGAACTCAGGAGTCATGGAGAGTTCACGGGGAGGTCTCGGGAGGGTCACTGGGAGGTCAGAGGTCATGGGGAAGCCAGGAGTCACAGGAGGTCAGAGGTCACAGAGTAGTCAGAGGTCATGGAGAGGTCACAGGGAGGTCGGGTCACTGGGAGGGCAGAGGGCATGGACAGGTCAGAGGGCATGGGGAGGGGAGGGGCGAAGTCCTTTACTCTGTCTGTCTCTGTTGTCTGTGTTCCTGGCTGTGTGGGGCACAGGATGACTGGGGAGACAAACACACACGCACAGACAGACAGACAGACAGACATAGAGCAGACAGATAGATAGAGGGACGGATGGATAGACAGACAGACAGACAGATAGGTGGATAGACGGATGAATGGACGGATAGACAGAGCCATAGAGAGACAGACAGACAGATGGACAGAAGGACGGATAGACAGGTAGACAGACAGTAGACAGACAGATGGACAGATAGATAGACAGATAGACTGATAGATAGATAGATAAACAAATGGACGGATAGACAGAGCCATAGACAGACAGACAGAGAGATACATGGACAGATGAATGGAGAGACAGACAGACATGGAAACATACATGGTTGGATGGATGGATAGATAGGTAGACAGACAGACAGCTGGATGGATAGATAGACAGACCAATGGACAGATAGACAGACAGAGCCATAGACAAAGAGATAGATGGACAGATGGATGGGTAGACAGACAGACAGACTGATGGATGTATAGACAGATAGGTAGACAGACACCAGACAGACAGATGGATACAGAGACAAGTAGACAGATGGATGGACAGAAGGACGTATAGACAGGTAGACAGATAGTAGATAGATAGAAGGACAGATGGACAGATAGATAGGTAGACAGACAGACAGATAAACCAATGGACAGATAGACAGAGCCATAGAGAGACAGACAGACAGAGAGATACATGGACTGATGGACGGATAAACAGACAGATAGACTGATGGACGATAGACAGAGCCGTAGACAGACAGACACCAGAGACATGGACAGATAGATAGAAAGAGACAGACAGACAGACCGACCAATGGAAGGATGGACAGACAGAGCCATAGAGAGACAGACAGACAGACAGAGAGATACATGGACAGATGGACGGATAGACAGACAGACAGATAGAAACATACATGGTTGGATGGATGGATAGGTAGACAGACAGACAGACAGACAGATAGATAGACAGACAGACAGACAGACCAATGGACGGATAGACAGAGCCATAGAGACAGATAGACAGAAGAATGGATGGAGAGACGAACAGATGGACAGATGAACAGATGGATAGATGGACCAATGGACAGATAGACAGACAGAGGTATACACAGTCAGAGAGACAGATGGACAGATGGATGGATAGACAGACGGGTGGATGGATGGATGGATTGAAAGAGATAACATGGACAGGTGGGTGGGTAGACAGACGGACGGACCGATGGATGTATAGACAGATAGGTAGACAGACACCAGACAGACAGGCAGACAGATAGATAGAGAGACAGGTGGACAGACAGATGGACAGATAGCTAGATGGATGGACCAGTGGACAAATAGACAGAATCATAGATAGACAGAGCAATGGACAGATAGACAAACAGAGCCATAGACAGAGAGAGAGAGAGAGAGAGAGATGGACGGAAGGAAGGATACACAGATAGGTAGACAGTAAGACAGTAGATAGATGGATGGACAGATGAATGGACAGACAGATACATGGGTGGACGGAGCGACACAGACACATGGACAGATAGACGGATGGACTGATGGATGGATAGACAGATGGACAGACAGAGGGACAGAGGGACAGACAGATGGACAGACAGAGGGACAGAGAGACAGAGGGACAGACAGATGGACAGAGAAACGGATGGACAGACAGATGGACTGACGGACGGACAAGTAGACAGACGAACAGACAGACTGACAGAGACAGACAGACAGAGGGACAGACAGACATAGACTGACAGACAGATGGATAGACAGACAGACAGAGAGATGGACAGAGAAACGGACGGACAGACAGATGGACAGATGGACGGACAAGTAGACGAACAGACAGACTGACAGAGACAGACAGACAGAGGGACAGACAGACAGACATAGACAGACTGACAGACAGATGGATAGACAGACGGACGGAGATGGACAGCCGGACGGACAGACAGACAGAGGGACAGAGCACTGTCTCCGACCAGCACAGGGACTCTTATCCAACACCCTGTCCCTCTGCCCCTCCCTCCGTCCGTCTGTCCATCCCCAGGCGTGGAGCTGACCCCGGCGGCGCCCGACACGCGTGGAACGGACACGAGTGGATCTGACTCTGGCACGATGGACACGCTTGGAAATGTCACGCGTGGATCTGAAACTCACACGATGGTCACACGTGTAAATATCACTCGTGAAAGGGACACGATCACATCCCTTCCACACTCACCTGATACACATGAAGCGCGCATGCGTGGCTCTGACACACGTGGAAATGTCATGCACGCCTCCCCCGCTCCCCCCGTGCTGCGCGAGGCGCCCACGGAGTTCGTGTCGGCCCACGCGGGCCTCACCCTGCACCTGCCCTGCACAGCCCAGGCCTGGCCCCCTGTGGCCCTGCACTGGCGTCTGCCTGACGGGACCCACGCGAGACCCGTGCATGCGCACACGCACCCTCGACTCAGTGACGTCTACGTCCTCCCCAATGGCACGCTGGTGCTGCGCCGCCTGCAGGCCCCGCGCCATGCCGGTGAGTACGAGTGCGTGGCCGCCAACGCGCTGAGCAGCGCGAGACGCACTGTGCACGTCGAAGTCACGCCCGCGCCCGCGCGTCTCCCCCCCAGCGTCCGACCCCGAGGCCCGCTCGCCACGCGCGTGCCCCACGGCGCTGACCTCACGCTGCACTGCCACGCGCGCGGGGATCCCGCCCCACGCGTGTTCTGGAGGCTGCCAGACGGGCACCTGGTGGATGCTGGGAGCAGGTGAGTGTGGGAAGTGGGGGGCATCCATCCATCCATTCACCCGTTCATCTACCCATCCATACATCCATCCATCCACTCATCCATCCACCCATCCATCCATCCACCCATCCATCCATCCACCCACCCACCCATCCATCCACCCACCCATCCATCCATTCATCTACCCATCCATCCATCCACCCATCCACCCTTCCATCCATCCATCCACCCACCCATCCATCCATCCATCCACCCATCCATTCATCCCTCCATCTACCCACCCATCCACCCATCCATCCATCCCTCCCTCCATCCATCCATCCACCCATCCACTCATCCATCCATCCACCCATCCATCCATCCATCCCTCCATCCGTCCACCCATCCACTCATCCATCCACCCACCCATTCATCCACCCACCCATCCATCGATCCACCCATCGATCCATCCATCTACCCATCCATCCACCCATCCATCCATCCACCCATCCATCCACCCATCCATCCATCCACCCATCCATCCACTCATCCATCCACCCATCCATCCATCCATCCATCCACCCATCCATCTATCCACCCATAGTTGGGATAAAGATGATACCCCTTGATAGATAGTTAATTGATAGAGGATGGATTAGACAGATGATGTAGACACAGTAGACCATAGATAACAAATCGATTATCCATTAAATATTGATAGAGATGAGGTGGGGATGGTAGATCCATTAGCAGTGAATAGGTAATTGATAGGTCCTGGCTTGCCAGATCGCAAGGTAGAACCCTAGTGATCGATCATTGATAGATGATCGGTCAGGGATCGATACAAGATGAGTATTGGATGCATATGTCACATGTGCGAATAACTAACATTGGCTTCAAATTTGTCTTCCCTTCCTTATGGTCTTTCCTCCTATTACTTCCTTCCCTCCTTCCTTCCTTCCTTCCCTCCTTTCTTCCTTCCCTTCTTCCTTCCTTCCCTTATTCCTTCCTTCCCTCCTTCCCTTCTTCCTTCCTTCCCTCCGATCCTTCCTTCCTTCCCTCCAAGCTTTCCTTCCTTCCCTCCAATCCTTCCTTCCAATCCTTCCCTCCAACCTCCCTTCCCTACATTCCCTCCTTCCCTCCAATCCTTCTATCCTTCCTTCCCTCCAATCCTTCGTTCCTTCCCTCCAATCCTTCCATCCTTCCTTCCCTCCAATCCTTCCTTCCCTCCCTCCAATCCTTCCTTCCTTCCCTCCCTCCAATCCTTCCTTCCTTCCTTCCAATCCTTCCTTCCTTCCTTCCCTCCAATCCTTCCTTACTTCCCTCCAATCCTTCCAATCCTTCCCTCCAATCCTTCCTTCCCTCCTTCCTTCCCTACATTCTCTCCTTCCTTCCCTCCAATCCTTCCTTTACCCTTCCCTCCTTCCTTCCCTCCTTCTTTCCTTCCTTCCTTCCTTCCTTCCTTCCTTCCTTCCTTCCTTCCTTCCTTCCTTCCTTCCTTCCTTCCTGCCCTCCCTTCCCCTCCCCTCCCCAGCTCTGACATCCGGGTCCGCGCCTTTTCCAACGGCACTCTCTCCGTGCGTCCGGTGACGTCACGTGATGCGGGGGAGTACGTGTGCGTGGCGCGCAACGCGGCGGGCGACGCGCATGCACGGCTGCGCGTGGAGTTGATGGCTGGGCCAGGTGCCTCCTATCTGCAACCCGGGCTTCCCGTGACCCCCGTGACCCCCGTGACCCAGGACGCCGACCCCAGGGAGGACTGCACTGCCTACCACCGCCTCCAGGTCCCATCCGGTGTCCTGGAAGACCCGGATGTTCGGGTCGCGAGGCCTGATGGGAGTGTGGGGAACTGGGACCTGGGGCCTGGGTTAGACCTCGGATGTGTGACCACAGCTGGGGGGGCGGGGCCTGGGGCGGGTTCTTCCTCTTCCTCTCAGTCACTTCCGTCTTCCTCTTCCTCTTCATTTCCTGTTTCCTCTTCCTTTCCTTCTTCCTCTTCCTCTCCATCTCTTCCTTCCTCTTCCTCTCACCATCCTTCATCTTCTTCCTTTTCCTCTGCTTCCTCTTCTTCTTTTCCTTCTTCCTCTTCCTTTCCTTCTTCCTCTCATCCCTTCCTGTTCTCTTCCTCTCAATCTCTTCCTTCTTCTTCTTCTTCCTTTCCTTCCTCTTCCTCTTCTCAGTCTCTTCCTTCTTCCTCTTCTTCCTTTCCTTCCTCTTCCTCTTCTTCACATTCTTTTCCTGCTTCCTCTTCCTTTCCTTCCTCTTCCTCTTCTCAGTCTCTTCCTTCTTCCTCTTCTTCACATTCTTTTCCTGCTTCCTCTTCCTTTCCTTCTTCCTCTTCTTCCTCTTCCTTTCAGCCTCTTCCTTCTTCCTCTTCATTTTCTGTTTCCTCTTCCTCTTCACTTCCTGGTTACTCTTCACTTCCTGGTTCCCCTTCACTTCCTGCTTCACTTCCGGCTTCCTCTTCCTCTCCCACTTCCACCCTGCTGCCCCCTGAGCTCTCCGTCCCCTACGGCGCCCCAGTGACCCTCACGTGCCCAGTGACGCGAGGGTCGCGCGCGGTGACGTGGCTGACGCCGGCCTTGCGCCCCATGGCCTTCACTTCCGGCCCGGAGGACGCCCACTTCCGGGTGCTGCCGGACGGGCGTCTGCGCCTGCGCGGGGTGCGGCGGGCCGACGCAGGCACGTACACGTGCATGGCGGGGCGGGGCTGGCGCGCCACCGTGCGCCTACACGTGCAGCTGCGGGCGCCGCGCATCCGGGTCACGCCTGACGTCCATGACGACGTGAACGACCACATCCGGGTCTCCCCCGTGGTGCGTCTGCGCGTGCGCTGCCAGGCGGATGGCGTCCCCGAGCCCCGCCTGCTGTGGGAACTTCCGGGTGGGCTGGTACTTCCAGTCCCGTATCGCAGTCGCACGGGGGGAGGGATCAGCGTGGATGCGCACGGGACGTTGGAAATCCCGGATGTGCGTGCGCTGCACAGCGGTGGCAGCGATGCCGTGGTGTGCGTGGCGCGCAACCCAGCGGGCGAAGCCCGGATGTGGGTGCGGCTGCCGCCATGGTGGGTGCGGGCTCTCCCCCCTGCGGCGTCGGCTCCGCCCTCTGAGGCGTTGACTCTGCCCCCTGTTGCGCCGGCTCCGCCCCATCACGCACCTGCCCCGCCATCTTGGGCGCTGACTCCGCCCCCTGGTGCGCTGGCTCCGCCCTCTGAGGCAGCTCCGCCCCCTGGCCCGCCTGCCCCGCCATCTTGGGCGCTGACTGCACCCCCTGACGCACCGACTCTGCCCTCTGAGGCGCTGACTCCACCCCCTGGGGCGGCGCCGGGGGCGGCGCTGCGTGTGGTGCTGGGCGGCAGCTTCCGGCTGCGCTGCCCCACCTCCACGCTTCCGGTGTCCTGGCGCCTGCCCGGCGGGCTGGTGCTGCGTGGGCCGCAGAGGCATGGCCGCTTCACGTTGGGCGCCGACGGCAGCCTGGAGGTGCGCGCCGCCTCCGAGCGCGACCGCGGCGCCTACGTCTGCCACGCCCACCCCGGGGCGCCGCCCAGACACGACCCCCGTGTGCCAGAGACCCGGATGTTCAGCTTCATTCCCGCCACTAGGCCGCTGGGTGCCATGGCAGGGCAACGGACTGAGGAGACCCTGATGTGGGGCTTCATTCCCGCCGGTAGGCCGCGGCGTTCGGTTGCCGGGCAACCAAGTGAAGATACCAGGACATTGGGCTCCACCGCAGCGTCTAGGCCTCTGTGTTCGGTTGCCAGGCAACAGACCGAGAAGACCCGGATGTGGGGCTTCATTCCTGCCTTTAGGCCGCTGGGTTCGGTTGCCGGGAAAGCGCGTGAGACCCGGATGTCCGGCTCCAGCAAGACTCCTGGGCCCCAGCCGGAAGATGACCGGATGTGGGGCTCCAAACCTGCATGTGCTGTACAGAAGCTGCAGTCCGACCAGAGGCCACGGAGAGGCTAGGACCCGGATGTGGACTGGGAGGGACCCGGATGTGGACTGGGAAAGACCCAGATGTCACCTATCTCTGGGTCCACTGAGGTGCCAGGACCCAGATGTGAACTGGGAGAAACCCGGATGTCACCTATCTCCGGGTCCACTGAGGGGCCAGGACCCGGATGTGGACTAGAAGGGACCCGGATGTCACTTTCTTCCATGTCCACTGACCCGGATGTGGCATGGAGAAACCGGATGTCACTTTCCTCCAGATGCACTGATGGGTCAGGATCTGGATGTGGACTAGGAGGGACCCGGATGTCACCTTCCTTCATGTCCACTGAGGGGCCAGTACACGGATGTGGACTGGGAGGGACCCGGATGTCTCCCTCATTCGTGTCCACTGACCCAGATGTGGCCTGGGGAACCCGGATGTCACTTATCTCCAGGTCCACTGAAGGGCCAGGACCCGGATGTGGACTGGGGGACCCGGATGTCACCCTCCTCCGTGTCCACTCTCCCGGATGTGGCGTCAGGGACCCAGATGTCACTTATCTCCAGGTCCACTGAGGGGCCAGGACCCGGATGTGGACTGGGGGACCCGGATGTCACCTATCTCCAGGTCCACTGAGGGGCCAGGACCCGGATGTTGCATGGGGAACCCGGATGTTATGTAAGTCCGCGTCCATTAACCTGGATGTGGACTGTGGCAGGGACCCAGATATGTGCTGGGCAGGACCCGGATATCACATCCACAGGCCTGGCTGTGGCGTGTGGAGTCCCGGATGTCATGCTCCTCTCCTTCCACTGACAGGGTCTAGGACCCAGATGTGGTGTGGGGATCCCGGATGTCAGGTCCCTCCACATCCACTGAGGGTCCAGGACCAAGATGTGGAATGGGAACTACCCAGATGTTAGGGACCTCCAGGTCCATGAACCTGGATGTGGGGTGAGTACCCAGATGTTAGGGACCTCCAGGTCCATGAACCTGGATGTGGGGTGAGTACCCAGATGTTAGGGACCTCCAGGTCCGTGAACCCGTATGTGGGGTCGGTACCCAGATGTTAGGGATCTCCAGGTACGGGAACCCAGATGTGGAGGCGAGTACCAGGATGTTACTTAACTCCAGGTCCACTGGCAGGCGCCAGGACCCGGATGTGAGGGGTTTGGACCCGGATGTGAGGGTTGGGACCCAGATGTGAGGGGTTGAGACCCAGATGTGAGAGGTGGAACCCAGATGTGGGCGGAGCGGGCACTCCACACCTTGGCCCCGGGCTCCAGTTGCGCTTTGGCCGTTGGGGTCCTTTCCCAGACTCGGAGGCAATAAAGCAGCCATGCTGCTTCTGGATGGAATTCTTCCTCACTTCCGCCCCCCAGCGCAGGCCAAGCCCTCCTGAGTCCCTCACTTCCTCCCCAGCCCAGGCCACACCCTCCTGAGCTCTGGCACGCCCTACTGAGCACAGGCCACGCCCCCTGGGCACAGGCCACGCTCCCTGACGGTCCTGACTCTTATTGCAGCCCTCCATGTAGTTCTCGAGGTTTCCCTCCTCCCCTTCCTCCTGCCTCTGCCAGGCCTGGCAATTTCTTGGCGCCCAGCCCAGCAACTCCAGGCTTTTCCCTTTCTTCCCTGCCTTCCCCTTCAGCACCACATCCTGTTCCTTTCCAAGGAACAAGGGGACTTTTATTTTGGAGGGGGGTTGTGGAGTTCTGGCTGCTGGAGTGACGTGGACATTTGACCCCTGCGAGCTTCCTGGCTGGCAGGGAGAGCAGCAGGCCCAGGCGCTGATGGCAGAGAACTGTGGATGTGAGTTCGTCCTCTGGGGAACACGGGGAGAGGTGTGGGGACCCGGGGTGGGGGGGCTTCGATTGCTTTTTGGAGCCCCCCCGGATGTCCCACCATGCCCTGGGGTGGGGGCTGCAGGGCCCTGCCACAAGCCTGGAAAGACAAGGTGAGGGGCTGATGTACTGGTGGGGGCAACAGCAGCCTGGCCCTGGGGTGGCCGGATGTTCCTCAGCTCTTCCCCACTTCCTGCTTCCGGCCTTCTCTTCCAGGAAACGGGGAGCATCATGGGAAGGATGCAATCCTGGGCGCCATGTTGGTCAGGAGAGGGCCTGGAGGGAGGGGGAGTCCTCCCATCCCTCCTCCCATCCACCCATCCATCCATCCACCCATCCATCCACCCATCCATCCACCCACCCATCCACCCAACCATCCATCCACCCACCCATCCATCCATCCATCCACCCATCCACCTATTCATCCACCCATCCATCCACCCATCCATCCATCCATCCATCCACCCATCCACCTATTCATCCATCCATCCATCCATCCACCCACCCATCCACCCATCCACCCATCCATCCATTCATCCATCCACCCACCCATCCATACATACACCCACCCACCCATCCATCCATCCACCCATCCATCCATCCACCCACCCATCCATCCATCCACCCATCCACCCATCCATCCATCTACCCATCCACCCATCCATCCATCCACTCATCCACCCATCCACTCATCCATCCAACCATCCATCCATCCACCCATCCATCCATCCATCCATCCACCCATCCACCTATCCATCCAACCATCCATCCATCCACCCATCCATTCACCCATCCATCCATCCATCCACCCATCCACCTATCCATCCATCCATCCACCCATCCATCCACCCATCCACCCCTCCTCCTCCTCTCTCTCCTCCTCAGGTCGCACAGCAGCTGCGCAGCCCCACCCCTCGCCTTCCTCCTCCTCCTCCTCCCCCCTGTCCCCTGCGCAGGCCCCGCCCCCTCGCGCCCCAACTTCCTGCTGCTCTTGGCCGACGACCTGGGCCTGGGCGACCTGGGCAGCTTCGGGAACCGCAGCCTGCGGTGAGCAGAGGGGGAGGCCCGGATGTAGGGCCTTAGTTACCCGGATGTGGGAGCTCAGATCCCTGGATGTTCCACCAGGAGAACTGTATAGACATCTAGTAACTCAGTTCCCCGGATGTTGGATGTTAGTATCGTGGATGTTGGATATCAAATCCCCGGATGTTGGATCTTAGTGCCCCGGATGTTGGATATCAGGTCCCCGGATGTTACATGTTAGTACCCCGGATTTGAAGACCAGGTCCCCGGATGTTGGAGACCAGGTCCCCGGATGTTGGATCTTAATGCCCCGGATGTTGGATATCAGGTCCCCGGATGTTAAATCTTAATACCCCGGATGTGGGAAATCAGGTTCCCGGATGTTGGACTTCAGTTCCCTGGATGTTGGATGTTAGTACCCCGGATGTTGGAGACTAGGTCCCCGGATGTTGGATGTTAGTGCCCTGGATGTTGGATATCAGGTCCCTGGATGTTAAATCTTAGTACCCCGGATGTGGGAGATTATGTCCCCAGATATTGGACTTCAGTGCCCCAGATGTAGGAGCTCAGGTCCCCAGATGTTGGAGGTTAGTGCTCCGAATGTGGGAGCTCAGGTCCCCGGATGTTAGCTATTAGTACCCTGGATGTTGTAGCTCAGTGCCCCGGATGTTGGATCTTATTCCTCTGGATGTAGGAGCCCAGGTGCCTGGATGTTAGATATTAGTGTCC